CTAAAGTCACCTGAACGAAATTTGCTGAACCATCGTTGACACTTACGAACGCGTGGCTACAGAGGCCCTGTTTCCCTTCTTGTATTCAAACAGCATTACATGACAAATGTGTGTCTCGTCGTGTGCCATCACTATAAGGGATTAGAGTAATTCGTTCGTTTAGCATGGTACGAATTTAGGTTAAAAAGGGGAATGAAATATAACCGGGGGGGGGAAGAAACTTCTGTTTCTCTTCACCCCAATATATAATTAGAATTAAGTGGTCGGGGCTTTTACGAATTAAATGCTTACACGAGTGAAGGTGTTAATAGTTAATTTTCCTAGTGACGAATTCACAATTTGAGGGAAGAGCTGAGATGAGACGTGGAGAAGATGATAAAGAAGGAGACCTTTGCTGAGTTGAGTGTTGTCTTCGGAAGCTCTTTCTTTCGGCGGGACCTGTGCGTCGGGCGTTTCAGAGCTGAGTGGTGTAGAGCAGAGCAGGGAGATGCAGATCGAGTGCGTCCGTTGTTGTCTAAACTGTTAAGAATAAACTTATTAAAGAATATTGGCTAGCTATTGAGGATAAGGATTTCACTATTTTAATATTAGCAGAGAACTATAGTATAACATTTAGCCTCAGATGGTCCTTTTCAGGGCTGGGATCTATGGATCCAAAGCATAAGGAAAAATTTTCCTGTGTGGGGAAACGGGAGTACCCCGAGAAAACCCACTTTCATGGCCAGGGCGCCGAATAAAATACCCTGACCGTGCCCGGAAAAAGACATATTATTAGTTTTCTTGGGTTGATTTCCATGTGGCTACTGGTGATGCTTGAAGGCTAGAACAGGCTGGCTGGGCGAAGAGGCGACGTGAATCTGTGTACGCTCGGGTCGTTGTTTAGCTGGATTGGGCTCTGGTTGATTAGTCGACGGAACGGTGTCTTGTGTAACGGGATGGTGCTAGGTGATGTGGGGGCTTCGGTTGGTAGTGCGTCTGAAGTTCTTAAAGTGGATCTTGTCAATATCTTGGAGTCTGTATCGTTGTGGTCTTCAGTCTGGATTTTACAGTCCTTTTTGGCAACCCTGGTCTGTGTTTCTTGATGTATAAGAAAGTGGCTGTTGGTAGAAGTAGAGGCGTCACACTTGGTTGTTAGAGGTAACATGGTTTGTGTCTGCCGTGAAGTTATCTGGAGGTCGTTTGTTTGAGTGCTAGTGTTTATATTCACGGCTGTTTTACTGGAGGTGGTAGGTGGTTCTGTCTCTGAAGCGGTGTGGCGGAGAGAACAGGATACTGTTGATTTTGATGTGTCGTGGGCTTGGGAGATCTGGTTATGGCGTCGCTGTTTCTTGTGATTAGACGTCTTCTTGGTTTTTCGGCCGTAAAGTGGAAGAAGTAGTAAGATAGTCCGTGAGTTAGAAGATATTGTTATGTAGTTTTAGAATCTGTGACTATTTGGATGAATCGAGTTGGTTGGCCTGTGATTCTTGATTTGATTCTGTGCACTTCGTGGATATTGAAGTTAGGTATGGCAAGAAGGTTATACTTGATGTCTTCAGGGGATATAGACAGATCGACGTTTCTCAGGAACACGGAAAAAAGTTGAGCGTTATTTCGAGGCAGTTTACAAACTACTGGTGGGTAAGAGTTCCATGGGGCACATAGATAATCTGAGTCTTCGGGAGTTTAATAAAAATTCCTCCCCTTCTTAATAGTTTCATCTTGGACGGGTCGATAGCGGCGTTGGGTTTGTATTTTCTTAGGAAGTATTTATCCGATTAAGGGAGAAATCGTTCGGGATGCCGTCAATAATGACGGGCGAAGCCGTAGGCAAACGTTGAGTGGGTTGCCTTCTTGCAGGAAAGTTAGCCACTTGGGTTCGGAGCGTGGTAAAACACGTATTCATGGTTCGAAATTTCGTCAAGGGAGATTAGAGTAAACTAAACTTTACACATTATATAGGCTACACTAACGTGACGTATAGGCGGTTCGTTTAACTATTATACGTGATGTACGTTTTTTGGGAGGTGGTTAATGAAAGTGTTCCAAAACATGACACTAATTTCTTCAAGACCTAATATTTTTTGTGAAGTGAAATTCAAGTTGGTAGGCAGAGCACAGATAGCCCATTGTGTAGCTTTGTGCTTAATTACAAATAAACATTACGAAGTTTTAAAGCTAGGCAGTAAAAGAACTATGAAAACATACTACAACATAAAATCGATTTTGACAATACTTATCAGAAAGCTGGAAATGTATTGCATAACTTCACAATTAAGTAGAACTTCCTGACAAATAGATTTTTTTTAGAATATGTGTTTTTATATTTTTAGGTCACCATTTAAATGAAATTAGAAATCTTATGCAGCTGGCTCACATTTTTTTTAGAATATGTATTGATCACTCTAACCAATGAAGGATCACTTATGAATCTAAAGGAAAATCCAATGCTATTAGTGCACTTTAAAATAACAATCTAAGTTCTGAAGCATGAAGTCAAAGAGAGGTAAAATTCACTCTTGGAAGAGGATTGGTTGCCATTTACAGCTAAAGGTTATTCATGGGGATCTGTTTATAGATTCAGATATTCCCACTTACCCTGTTTTAGCGAAATTTGTCCAGTATCTCATCATTTTCTTGGATAAAAGTTTTTCTTCTTTCGTATATGTTAGAGCTGGGTTCAAAGGCTCACCAAAGATAAATGGTATCTCATCACCATGCATCACTCCCATCCATCTTGGCCAGGGGTTAACAGAAGACCGATGGGTAAAGTAATACATATATACCTCATTTCCCGCTTCAGCATAATGGTGGGCAAAGTCGTTCACACTGCAAGTAAAGTGGTAATCTCCAACGATCTTATCAATAGCATCCCGGATATGAATAGAACTGTTTGGATGCAGCCAATCAGTATACTGAAATATAATGGCCTGTTGGGCGGCCTCTCCTATGTAGGGATTTAACTCTTTCACTGAGTTAATAAAATCTTCTCTAGTCAGATAAACGTCTTCTTCCTTTTTGAAAAGTTCTGTTAGATAGTATATTATCCAGTAGGTGCCTTCATCTAAATTGCTACCCATCAGAACATTTGTTTTCTTAAAATTCCTGGTGTTCAGTGACACAGATGGTTGTTCGTCAATAAAAGCTCCATCTACAACCGGAACAAAAGGAAAATCAATGACCCCTAAAGTGCCTGATTCATTCATAACAAGATCCATAGGGTCTGCATTGCGGAGACACCTAACAACAGCATCCATGTCTTGAGGATCAATTTGACATTTGACAGCTTCAGCTAAACGAAGCCCACGTTTCTTGGATTCCTTATAATCAATAATAGCCCATGGAGATGTCGCTGAGCCACTTTGTAAGATGCCTCGGTTGAAGAGGTTTCTACTTAGTGGAGATAACAAATGGAGGCCCACACTGACTGCTCCAGCACTCTCACCAAATAAAGTGATGCTATTTGGATCACCTCCAAACGCAGCAATATTATCATGCACCCATTCTAGTGCCATCAACTGGTCAAACAACCCAGCATTACCGGGTACATCTGGACGCTCGAAAAACAAAAACCCCAGAGATGCCACTCTGTAATTCATTGAAACAACTATTATTTGTTCCTCTGTAGCCAAGATTTTAGCATTGTATACGTTGAGAGTAGACGTCCCACTGTAGTAACCACCACCAAAGATCCAAACCAAAACAGAAGCCTTTTTCGGTTTTCGGTGTGGCACCCATACATTCAACTTTAAACAATCTTCACTTAGAGGAGTATTTGGATTCCATATCTTTGAACCCGAAAAATTTCCAAAAAATGTATCACTAATCTGAAAACAAGTATTGGGTTTTTCGGTTGCATTAAAAATATCATCCCATGGGTCTATAGGTTTAGGATGTCGAAATCTGTATTCACCAACAGGAGGCTTCGCATATGGTATGCCTAAGTAGACATCGACTAATTTACCAGTAACTGCTTTTGTCGTTTTTCCTCTCACCAAGCCTTTATTAGTACGAATCAATGGATTTTCTTCAGATCCTTGCAACGGAATATTCCGTCCAATGCTGAGGGTTAGCCATGTAGCCAAAACCAGTGCCATTCTATGATAGAAATAAAAATTGCATTTCCACTTCGTCATGCTGTAGGCTTTTGTTGTTAAGTTCAAAGTCATTTTTTGAAAACTGGATTTCCTGTTCCTGCAAAAAAGTAAAATAATTAGACTGATTGATTTATTTTTATTACCATGATAAATCAGCTGAAATATATTACGTAATTGAAAAAAGTATTTAAAAATATACTTCTTGCTTGCAAGGATAAGTATTGTCTTATTTTCCCATTTTTATAAATTTTGAGAAGTTCGAAATAGTTTCTTTTTTAAATTTAAGTTAAAAATAAACATAAAACCCGATCCACCACCTTCCATTAGATTTCAAAGTCTAATAACGATTAAAAAGCATGTTAATGTATTGTTAGGATATGTAGAAAGATTAGATGTTCACAAATGAAACAAGTTAAAATGTGTTTAAGATCCCCAGTGGCACAGCGATATGTATGTGGACTTACAACACTAAAAAGCGGGTTTCGATACCAGTGGTGAGCAGAGCACACGTAGTCCATTGTGTAGCTTTGTACTTAAACTACAAACATATGTGTTGAAATGTTATTTTTTTCTTCTTATCATATGCTGTCTGAATATGTTAAATATGTTTTGTGTGTTTTCAGAATATGTTAATATTTTCAGGATTTTTAGCTAACTATTAGCAGCATGTGTTGAAATTGTGTTCTTTTGTTTACTTGAATGTGGTAACACTTTCGATGTATGTAGATGTCTGTTGAGAGAAAGTGGTTGAAAATGTGTTATTTTATTTGTGAAAAAGTGTCAACTTTTTTAAGAATACAGGTGTGCGAATTTAAACTTCATAAAAATTGTTTTGGTTTTATTAACGGATTTTCCATAATTAAGCTAGCAGGTTTCGAAAATAATATTCATTTTTTCTATCACGTGAGGATTTTTTACAAATCGGGAAGAAAAAACTTACTTAGATCAACTTCTTATTTCGTTTACCACAATGAACTATTTTTTATTAATACGTTTGTTAACAAAAAT